ATATGTTCAGTCTTGTGTGTGTCTGTGTGTGTGTCTCACTGAACCCCTTGTGTCTGCTGAGTTGGAATTATTTTTATAGCATACTGTGAAGCAAAAAGAAGATTATGAAACACTTTATGCATAATTCCAAATTCATGTAAATATGTATTTTAATTGCCTAATAGGATGACAGCAAAATATGAAGACTACTTACCTGCAGTTAGTTTATGGAATTTATGAGAAGTTTTATTAATTAGCAGTAATTTCCGATTTTTCCTAAACTAACTTGCCTGAGTAAAAACAAATAGTTTTTTTAAATTATGTGAACTATGGATTTTAATATAAGATACTGGGCAGCATTCATGAGACAGAATTTAGTGTATTAGTAAGCTGTTTGTGCACTCCTGAATCTTGGCAAACTCGCATATGCTGTTTCATAACCGAATCGAAGAGGGAAAATACACTACCTCATCTGAACAACGCAAATATATTTAGACTAACAAGAAACTGACCCATTTGAGACTTTATAGCAAACAAGGACAAAAAGTAGTTCGCATAATTTTCTCATGCTCCTTTTATAGTGTTTATCTTTTATAAGGCTATTTGGAACAGTTGCTCGCCACCTGTCAATAATGTGGCCTTTTATAGACTCAGCTTTATATTGTTCTTGTGCCCTTGACATATAAAACACAGTCTTAGAATAAGTCAGTGTTGGATGTGGTGAGCAAAATACTAATTTTAAATTTAAAAGGCCACCTTTTGTAGACTGAAATAAAGATAGTTCTGAATGACATGAAAAGAATAGGCATGTTATAAAATCCTCTTTCGCAGGAGTAAAAAAAAACCATTCTTATCAACATTTTTGGCAAGTTTGTTAAGAGTTATATTTAAAGCACTAGCCTATGGAAAACTAAGCCAAACAGCACTAATTTAAAGTTGTTATAACAATTTTGCATGATCTTGCATCAATTCCAACTGCAAATATTTCTATTGAGCCTATCAATTACATAAATATTTTGGGTATATAAACAATTACTTTCACTTTTTTTTAGTAGAATAAGACTTCCAGTATTTCTTTCTTGATTTACATAAAATCTGTCAGGCTAAATGTTCTATATATACTTTTTGACCTTAATGTGTGTTGGATGATACTGAATGAACGCAATCCTATGCAAAAATACATTTCCATTTATAAAGGGATATTATCCAAGGCCTTAAGTAAAAACCTGCCTATCCTTTGTTTTGTGCAGTTAGATTCCAAGTCCCCTGTATGTTATCGTGAAGAAGAGCAATAAATAAAGCAAGTTTTAAACCAATGTAAATTTTTTCTGTTCTTGTTAAAAAGCAAACATCCCCCCCCACAGTCACACATGTGCACAAACACACACTGCCTTTCCGATACCAATTTAACATTATGCAGAGATATAGGAGCTCAGTATCACAGTTTCATATTGTACTTGGGACAGGACTTTGTGTTTTTCTTGATCGAGTTTGCATATTGTGCTTTCAAATTTCCTTTGGAAACATTTGTTCTCCAAAACACCTGGTAGCTAATTGGTCTAACAATTCTTAGCTGTCAAGAGCAATTTTAGATGTGGTCCCCTTTCTGTTCAATGTGTGATTATTTTAATACTGCTGGAGGAAAGAAGTAGACAGCCCTTCATCATGGTAGAGATCTGATTTTTCGAAAGGTCTGTTAATTGGACACATGTAACATCCAAGGTGCAATGAAAAGATAAGGCAGCAGTTAAAGCCCGCAGAGTGAATGAGTTTTCTTCAGGTTCACTCGTGATTATTTTGCCACCTCCACTTTCACTGGTGCCCACATACATTTTATCTTCTTTCAACCTAGAGGGTATTTTTTATAGATCTCCATGGAATTTTCTCAAGATTGCCTGTCTTCTGGTTCTCAATGTTAATGTACTTGGACTAAAGTAAACCCAACAGGGCTATCTATAAATAGATGATTAATAGGAATCTGTGATGATATTATTGGAATGAAAATTGAATTGTATTTGTATTTAGAATGTGTGCTTTTCCTAATTAAGCAAGCTTTAACACTGCTTACTCATTATCAGTTGAATGAAATAGTGTAGAAGTTTTCTTGAACTCAGTTTCTGTATTTGTGCTGCCATCGACATGAAACATATAGTTTTTTGGATATTAAGATCTACAAACTAAGTTCTCTCTTTTCTAAACAAAATGATTGGAGAAGTTCCTTTAAAGTCCAGGCATGGAAATTAAAAGACATTATCAAACCAAATATTGTAAGAGACAGGCAGAGTTCTGTCTTTGAGTCATGGATTCAGTCTAATGTGTTAAACAGGTATTTAGTAAACAATTATTTGATAAACTAACTTAAGTTGTGATGAGCATGTGAGAAACACACAGGTTGTTCTGGGAATGCGTAAAAAGGGGGCTCTCCCTAATTTGTTGTCAGTAAATGAATCATTTTCAAAGTAACCATCATTCACTTTTATTTTTGCAAAAACTTAGAAGCATGCCTTGAGTTTTTGCTAAAATTTGGTTTATAAGAGTTAAATATCCGTACCAGTTCTTAGCTAGGGTAATTTTCAAATTTAATAGTTAACTAGTGTTGTCTAGTTATCCTTCATAGTTTTTGAGATTTTGTTTTTGGTGTGTGTTTTCCTTAGGAATTACATGCAGACTTGAACTCAATTCACATTTTGTATGCTTAGATTTCTGTAATAAAATATTAATTGTCATCAGTTAAACACACCAATTAAATAGCATAACCTCCCTAAAAAATACAATTAAGTATTTTAAGTGCCAAATTTATAATTTGCCATAAAATTTTTTATTTTTATTTTGAGTTAAAACTAACTTCTTAATAGTCCTAATCATTCACCAGTCTAATTTCTTAATTAATATCAAAGATTAGAAAACAATAAAGTATCAAGAAGTTCTTCTGAGCTATATCTGGAATTTAGACTCTGAATTAATGCAAGGTACTTGTATTTTGGAATTTAGATGTAATGTCACATAGCTTACTCCTAACTTGAAAGTCCAACATACACCTATCTTTCTATGCTGTGTTTAGGGTAGGAAATAAAGATTACTGATGTGTTCAAGCACAGCGGAAAAAAAGAATAAGTACCAGAGATACGTGGAATTAATTCTAAGATTTTATACAGGTTACTATGTACCCATATTGAGAAGGGCCCTAAGTTCCATAATTCTTAAACTGAATATTTACAAAATCTCTCAGAGAGCATCAACAAACTTATGAGGGTGTATTTTCCTTTGACAAACTAAAAATAATCAAAATATCATCAGGTATTATATGTGGACAGATATAAAACACTCACTGACTTACTTAGCTCATAAAGTTTTGACATCAGCACTGTGGAAAAACTGCTTGTCTAAATGTATTTTAAGTCCTTTATAACTCTTCGCATATGAATGTCATGAAGTAATGATATGGGTATGCCACATATATAATTCTTATTTTCATGCAATAATGATTAGTTAGCACAATGTTTTCAGTCAATCCCTTTTCTATTTACAACTCCATTATTCCAGTTATATTGAAGTTAACATTATCAAATTGTAAACACCTTCCTAGCTAATCAGAGTTAAATATTTAAATTAAATATGATAAGCACATTCTTCATATTTCATTCTTTGTAGATTAATCATTTTGTATAGGCATGTCTAAGTCTTGAGCCCTAAAATCTAGGATAAATCACACAACTAAAACTCAGAATTGGAATCTGAAATGAAGGATGTTTTTGTTATTCATTCAAGATGTGAACCTGGCAAATCGCTTCCCCTTCTTGTTACCAGCTCTTCTCATCCACGGATGAATCTCTTGACCTCGTTGAGTGGTTTTCACTTTACAGCAACAGAAACATCTTGCCAGACACAGTCTTACCATAATCTCAACATACATAAAAATAAAGAATCCTAAGGGAACTTTTCTTATAGAAGCAGCAATGAGGGAGGAAGGAGGGCCGCGGGGTAGGGGTGGGAGGCCCTGAAGCCCGACCCTGTGGGCCGGCCCTCACCCCCCGCCCCCACAGCCTGGTAAAGATGGTCCTAGGCTACTTCAGACAATTTCTCCAATTGCATGGATCACACTGTGAAAATCATAACTATGGGATCACTATGTTTCTTTACAATTCCAAAATAATATAATTCTTAACTTCATAAATTGAGATTTGTCTGTTAAAGCCCTGGAATCTCATTATCTAGGTTAAAAAAAGAAATAATACATGCAGATATAAGAGGGTTTCAATCTATGCTAAGAAGAATTCAAAGGTAAAAGGCCCACATTTCACACTACAGCTTCTGACTTAAGTATCCCCTAAAGCAGCTCTATAATACCAAATAGGACATACCTCGGAAATGAATAGATTGATAAAACTCCAATAACCCTTTCAATGTTCAGAAAATAGCAATAAATTTTTAGTTAAATTTAAATTTTCTTGTCTATTTTTATACTTCACTGGAGAGATGAGAAAAATGGTAACTTTAAGGGCAGAATGTGCTTAAATGAAGATTTTTCACTTTGCTTACCAGCAATCAAACACTTCTGTTGATACACACATACACAACTATTACACTTATAGTCACAATGTATAGAAATGGAAAATGAGGAAGAGCGGAGCATGTTCTGCAAGATAATTGCTCAGGAGAGAAAAGCCTTCAGGAGAAGTTCTTCACATGGGTTCATTTTCTTTCCCAGTTACGGAAATCAATGATGATTCTGAGACAGGAGTAATGGGTTTTCACTGTGACTGATTTCTGATGTCCTTTATGAGCAGGGGTTCTTTAACAACCTAAAATTAAGGAAATGAATAAAAGCAATCTTTTAATAATCCCGAAAGGACGCGGAGTGAAGCTGTCCCAGCAGGTACCGTATATAGGCTCTGACACAGTTCCCCTTCCGCAATACGAGTGCAGATTAGTTTCTAACAGTCAATGGAGAGAGACCTACTTTATAACACTTCAGGGAAGTGAATGTACTAGATCCTAAAATGTCTTTCTGGAACGGAAAGTAACCTATAGCTTTCTTCTAGGAGCGCTGTTCATAAACTCTTGTGTCGTTTTAGGTCCGTGGGGCCGATGCATGGGAGACGAATGCGGTCCAGGAGGCATTCAGACCCGGGCTGTGTGGTGTGCTCATGTGGAAGGATGGACAACGTTGCATACCAACTGTAAGCAGGCCGAGAGACCTAGTAACCAGCAGAATTGCTTCAAAGTTTGTGACTGGCACAAAGAGTTGTACGACTGGCGGCTGGGACCCTGGAACCAATGTCAGCCAGTGATTTCTAAAAGCCTGGAGAAACCCCTCGAGTGCATTAAGGGGGAAGAGGGCATTCAGGTGCGAGAGATAACGTGCATCCAGAAGGAGAAGGACATCCCTGCGGAGGATATCATCTGTGAGTACTTCGAGCCCAAGCCGCTGCTGGAGCAGGCCTGCCTCATCCCCTGCCAGCAAGACTGCATTGTGTCTGAGTTTTCTGCCTGGTCAGGGTGCTCCAAGACATGCGGCAGTGGGCTGCAGCACCGGACGCGGCACGTGGTGGCGCCGCCCCAGTTTGGAGGCTCAGGCTGTCCAAACCTGACGGAGTTTCAGGTGTGCCAGTCCAGCCCGTGCGAAGCTGAAGAGAGCATGTACAGCTTGCATGTGGGACCTTGGAGCACGTGCTCGATGATCCACTCGAGACAAGCGAGACAAGCAAGGAGACGTGGGAAGAACAAAGAACGCGAAAAGGACCGTGGGAAAGGAGTGAAGGATCCGGAGGCCCGGGAGCTTATTAAGAAAAAGAGAAATAGAAACAGACAGAATCGTCAAGAGAACAAATATTGGGACATCCAGATTGGATATCAGACCAGAGAGGTGACCTGTACCAACAAGACCGGGCAAGCAGCTGATTTGAGGTAACGTTTCATTACCATTAACTACACGTGTCTCCCTGCCAAAGACCATGGGCTAGGGAGTCCTTCAGACATGCTCTACTAAATCCTGGAATTCACATGCACACAGCCCACCATGAGCTACCCCCAAGTGTAACTTTTTCCATTTAAGGCATTTAAGCTTTGAGGGTGTCCTGGCATTATTTCTGTTTTGCTCATGTTTAGGCAGTATACAACTTGAGTTCAATTTTCTGGTCAAAATGAGAGATTCTCTGAAAGCTGATACTACTTCTTTAGGTCAATAGTGATGTTTACACCTATAATGAAACAAACAAAAAAACTTATTTAAAAGCTGGAGTTTTGGGATTTGGAATTCAGGCACAAAATAAGTGTAAACTGGGAATAAGATGCTTGTAATCTCTCTCCAAGTGTATAGCACTTTCAGCATTACCCTATAAACAAAATCTAAACAACAACCCAGGGAGCTATACCTAAGAATATAAAATGGAATAATTTTCCCCAGAGAAGAAAAGGGGAATCAACAGAAATTAAGGTAAGTAGATGGTATTTAATCATGGATTTCATAGTTTGGAAAACATGTAATTAATTGGCTGCATTTTCTAGATAGAAATTATTTGTCAAATTATCTCTGGATAAATAATGTCAATATTAAGAAAGACTTACCTATGTGTGATTTATGTGTTGTGAAAATATTCACTGAGTATTATTTATTAAGGATTATCTAAAGGATATGGTATTCTCTGAATATTCTGAATTTTGCTCTTGGATAAGCCAGACCATCTGGGAGTGGCTTATGTGGATCATTTGCATAATTGCCTTTTCTGAAATATTTATGCAGTTATGATTTAGACTGAACTGAGAAATTATCATAACATCACTCAGAATTTTATATCATATATATTGTGGAAATGACATTGAAAATGTCATCTACTCCATCAAACGTCTGTGCTTTAATTAAAAGTACATAAGATGAATTTGGCTGAAGTTTCAACCCATGAGCTTCTGGTGAGCGGCTGCATTCTTTTCCTTACAGTCCCTGGAAGTCTTGTAACAGATTATTTCCCCGTTTACTGTGGCTGTTGGGAACATAAATAGGACTGTGGGACATGTGTGCTGTTTACTCACATAGCCCCCCCCGCTTGGCTTTGTCCGTTTCTAACCTTCATTATTTTTCTTCACTCATTTTTGTCTAGTGATATTGCTGTTCTCATATTGCTGGTTTGAAACCTTTTTAGTGCTGGATATAGTTTAAATTAGTGAGTAAACAGAGAAACAATTGGCTAATCTAAGACAGTAATGTCTCTCAGTATAGCATTGTTCTGGTCACTGTTTTTAGGATATTTTCTACTCCCTCCCGTCTTTGGACTCACCCAGTTGTATTTTCTCTCAGCCCCACAGTGATTCACTCTTCCTCTTTTCTGTTGTCATCAGCCCAGCTCCTTTTCTGGTCTTGCTGATGGCTGCTGATTCTACTGCCTTTGCTGTTCAGGCTCCCTATGACTCCTTAAATGACTGTGTGTGTGTGTGTGTGTGTGTGTGTGTGTGTGTGTGTGTGTGTGTGTGTGTGTGTGTACGTGTTCACCTCTGGTTCTGTATCATGTGTATTTTCAAGTCAATCCCTGTTTTTATTCTTTTATGACCATCCTTATTCTGCTAATTTCATAATCTCTTTCCTGCCAAGTAATTGAATGAGACTCCAAGACGACTTGAGCTGTCTCCTGCTGTCACTGGGGTTAACGTGCTCTAGACATTTCATTTAATGTTTGCTACTCAGGTAAAAGTGTAATCAGGATAGCACCTACCACTGCATAGAGCCTAACATATCCATCCCGTTGTTTGAAATAAACAAATGTATTTTAAAACCTGTAGATCACTTATCAGGTACTTAGAGTCTATTAGAAATAACTATTTTAATAAAATGATAGTTGCATGTATGTTATAACTTATTAGGGTATCAATTAAACATTATGTTAAATTGGTTAATAATGTTTTTCTTATTTAAGAATTATATATAAAAATGAATGTGAATAAATATATCTGATTAGGGTAGTTAAAGTCTTAGTGAAGAAGAGACAAAAATCAGATGTGACCTAAATTTTGCTCAAACATTATACCAGATCAGTAAAACTAATAAAATGAAGACTAATTGAATAACACCATCAAAGCACAGGGCCATAGGTATCATGGACTTGGTGATTAAATGTAAAATATTTTATCAAATTGAGAAACAATTTTACCATGTAAGATGATGAAGCAATCATTTAATATGGCTTAAAAAATCTTACTAGCCCTGACCAGTTTGGGTCAGTTGGTGAGGCGGCGGCGTCTTGTGGACCAAATGGTTACTGGTTCAATTCCTGGGCAGGGCAAGTGCTTGTGTTGCAGGTGCAGCTCCCAGTCCAGGCATGTGCAGAGTGTAGCTGATCAATGTTTCTTTTGCACATTGATGTTTCTCTCCCTCTCTGTCTTCATCCTTTTCCCTCTCCCTAAAAATAAAGGATTAAAAACAATCTTTAAAACTCTTATTAAAACAGCTAAATGAATTTAGATAAATAAACCTAAGAATACTGGGGAGGTAGTTTATAGGCAAATAAAAATAATTTTAGCAGAATTACTGCTAAATCATCCAAGTTAAAGAAGATAGATCTGCCCTGCTCCTGCTTTCAGAATAGACTAAAGTCAATAAGAATAAAACATACAAATGGAAGTCCATACTTTTATGATTATAGGAAATGGTCACAGTCACAGTCCCAAACCACAACTGACAGAGATTTAGAGAATGTGGCCACATTCAGTTTGGCTCAGGGAGGAAACTTAGAGCAGCATTATGTGCTTGCAGTTTTCATGAACACAAATCTGTGAGTAGCCTGAACTTTCTGAGGGGCCACGCCACTGACACCTCCTTGGGAGGGCATGGCCTGTATTAATGACTTGGCTGCTGAAGAGTCTTTGAGTTTTGTGTCAAAACAGAGTGGCATAATAGGCAGGACTAAACAAGGAAACTCACTATGCTGTTACTGCCGAGAAAAGAGTATCAGTTCGATGGACTGAGGGAATAAAGTTTTGATGAGCAGCAAAAGAGAATTCTAAATCACTGCACACACTGTGAATGCTAACTCACTCCCTGTGAACCAGTGAGTTTTGGCTAGGCTTAAACAGAGCATTACCCGAGGACAAGAGTTCAAGAGTTGCTATGAAAGTATGGGCATACAGTTCTCCAAGAAACCAAAGACAGACAAGGTAATACATTTTTTTTTCCTGAACCAAAAAGAGAAAGATTTTCCGTAGTCATAGAAGAATTAAGAACACTGAATGAACTTTAAAGTGATTTGGCAGAGCACACAAAGGAAATGGAGAATTCTAAAACAAGAAAAAAAAATGAAATTCACATTAGAAGAAACAAAATGTGAGAAAATATTCTGTGATAAGAAGAGTCAATGATATAGAGAACAGTTTGAGAACAAGTAAACTGGAACTTTTTTTAAATGATGGACGTGGAAGGAAAGGAGATCACTATATGAAATTCTGGCATTATTGAAGATAGGAGCAGAAAAATGAGAACAGACAACACAAAAACACAAAGATATAATTTAAATCTATAAAATTAAGGAAGACTTTAATACACAGATGAAAATTGCACAGAGCCAATATTCTTCTAGATGAGGGTGAAATAATGTCCTTATGGAAGAACTGATATTGGACAATTGTTACATAGAGAGGTAGACGAAGGGACATCACACTGAAAGCCAGAACAATACTCAATTCTGAAACACTACACACATTCTGTTTAAAGTGAAAAATAAGACAGGACAGCACATTATTTCCACTGATAGTTAACATTCATCTGTAAGTACTAGTCAATGTAGTTGAAAGGAGAAATAAAAATTGGAAAGCAGATGGCAAAATTAAGACTTTTCCACCAAATTTTATAGAAAATCAAGATAATCAATTGAAAATAAAAATAGTAAAATAAGTTAATGGAACAGATGGGCAGAAAGATAATTTCCCAGAATTAATATACTCCCTATATACAAACAGCAAGTAGCTCAACATTGATGGAACAAAGGATTAATACATCCCATTTACAACAGTAAAAAAAAAATCTGAAATAAGTCTAACTATAAAAGTTCTGCACATAATACCACACTTCAAAAAGTAAAAAAGGAAATCTGTGCTTGTTAGAACATCCAGTAAATACACCAGTTGCTCCTGCAGTGTTCCTGTACAATTACCAAGGGAAAAGTATATAATAAAAGTCAGGAAAATTCTCAAAACTAAAAGTAAAGGGAAAAGACTAATGTCAAAGAAAATTAAATACAATGTATGCCATGAATAATAATAACAATTTTTTGTTAGTATATGAATAATCAGATCAAACCGAAAAGGGTCTGGAGAAAAGATCAGCAAAAGTTCAAGAGAATGAAAAGATAAGCTACACTGGGAAAAATATTTGCAAATTACATCTAATAAAGTGCTATTACCCAAAATAAACAAGAATTCTTAAAACTCAATGGAAGAAAACAACTCAATTAAAAAATGAGTAAAAAACTTTGATACCTCACCAAAAAATATATACAGGTTTCAAATAAGCATATTAGAAGATGGTCCACATCATATGTCATCAAGGAAATGCAAATTAAAACAATAATGAGATACCATCACATACCTTTTAAAATAACCAAAACCTTAACACTGACACACCAAATGTTGATGTGGATGTAGAACAACAGGAGCTCTAACTACACTGCTGGTGGGAAATTGCTGGTTGGACTACAGTTTGGCACTGTCTTACAAAGTTAAACATACTCTTACAACAGGATCCAACAATTACACTCCTTCGTATTTACCCAAAGGAGCTAAAAACTTATGTCCATACAAAAATCTACACATGAATGTTTATAGCTGCTTTGTTCACAATTGCCAAAACTTGGTGGCAACCAAGATGTCCTTCAGTAGGTGAATGGATAAATAAACTGTGGAACCTTCTACCTCCAGATGATGGA